CTTCTCTGTCTTAATTTTTTTTTTTTTTTTTTACCCCCCCCCCCCCCCCAACATGAGCATTTCCTCCCCTTTAATTTCCCTTAAACAAAATATCCAACATGCTGTAAAGTCTGTGTGACTGTGGTATACTTTGTGTTGCCTTTTGCTCATTTGTTGGGTAGAAATCACATTAACCAAATGACATTCCAGCATGTCACCTCTTTTTCCATCACCATCTCAATGGAAAGTGGAAATGATTGTTCAAAAAATATAATAAAATTGCTCCATATAAAGGGGGAGATTCGGATTGCACAGAGCAAATGACTGGTATATGGATAATGTGTAATCTCATCCTCGTGATAATCTGATCAGTTGTTGTACAATCCGAGCTAATTGTAGAGAGTTGTGAAATCTGTGCCCGGCATCATGCTGATAGTATGCACGTTATAGTCATTCATCCTGATTTCTCTGTTCCGATTTGGGAGAATGAGAGATGAGAAGGAGAGAGAGAGGAGAGGATGAGGTGGGTAGAGAGCGAGAAGAGAGAGAGGGGAGAGAGAGGAGAGGATGAGGTGGGTAGAGAGCGAGAAGAGAGAGAGGGGAGAGAGAGGAGAGGATGAGGTGGGTAGAGAGCGAGAAGAGAGAGTAGAGGATGAGGTGGGTAGAGAGCGAGAAGAGAGAGGAGAGGATGAGGTGGGTAGAGAGCGAGAAGAGAGAGGGGAGAGAGAGGAGATGATGAGAGGGAGGAGAAGAGAGAGAGAGAGGGGAGAGAGAGAGAGGGGGGAGAGAGAGGATGAGGTGGGTAGAGATGGAGAGGAGAGGATGAGGTGGGTAGAGAGAGAGGGGAGAGAGAGGAGAGGATGAGAGGGAGGAGAAGAGAGAGAGGGGAGAGAGAGAGAGAGGGGAGAGAGAGGATGAGGTGGGTAGAGAGGGAGAAGAGAGAGGAGAGGATGAGGTGGGTAGAGAGCGAGAAGAGAGAGAGAGGATGAGGTGGGTAGAGACGGAGAAGAGAGAGGAGAGGCTGAGGTGGGTAGAGAGCGAGAAGAGAGAGAGGGGGTAGAGAGGGAGAGGAGAGGATGAGGTGGGTAGAGAGCGAGAAGAGAGAGAGGGGAGAGAGAGGATGAGTTGGGTAGAGAGGGAGAAGAGAGAGTAGAGGATGAGGTGGGAAGAGAGAGAGGGGGCAGAGAGGAGAGGATGAGATGGGTAGAGAGGGAGAAGAGAGAGGAGAGGATGAGGTGGGAAGAGAGAGAGGGGGCAGAGAGGAGAGGATGAGATGGGTAGAGAGGGAGAAGAGAGAGAGGGGAAGAGAGAGGAGAGGATGAGGTGGGTAGTGAGAGAGAGAAGAGAGAGAGAGGAGATGATGAGGTGGGTAGAGAGAGAGAGGGGGGTAGAGAGGGAGAAGATAGAGGAGAGGATGAGGTGGGTAGAGAGCAAGAAGAGAGAGAGAGAGGGGAGAGAGAGGATGAGGTGGGTAGAGAGGGAGAAGAGAGAGGAGAGGCTGAGGTGGGTAGAGAACGAGAAGAGAGAGAGGGGGTAGAGAGGGAGGGGAGAGAGAGGAGAGGATGAGATGGATAGAGAGGGAGAAGAGAGAGAGAGGGGAGAGAGAGGATGAGGTGGGTAGAGAGGGAGAAGAGAGAGTAGAGGATGAGGTGGGAAGAGAGAGAGAGTGGGAGAGAGGAGAGGATGAGATGGGTAGAGAGGGAGAAGAGAGAGAGGGGAGAGAGAGAGGAGAGGATGAGATGGGTAGAGAGGGAGAAGAGAGAGAGAGGAGAGGATGAGGTGGGTAGAGAGAGAGAGGGGAAAAAGAGGAGAGGATGAGGTGGGTAGGAAGGGGAGTGAAAGAAAAGAGGGAGAGAGGGGAGAGGATGAGATCGGTAAAGAGGGAGAAGAGAAAGAGAGAGGGGAGAGAAAGGTGAGAGAGGAGAGGATGAG